CTGAGATCCGGGTCCGGAATGGTGAAAGTGTGCGATTTCAATGCATTTTCGGCCTTAAAGCGGCCGCCATTTGGCTATCGTTAATGAGATCATGAAACAAATGCACATACATATTTGTGACATGATGTACCTTGTGTGTGTGAAGTTTGAACTCGATCAATCCAAGCATGTCTCAGATACGGATCCAGAACTGAATTCTTTAAAACAAAATGGCCGCCAGTCGGCCATTTCGAACCCGATCCAAAAAAAAAAATGACGTGCATCAAGGTCCTATTATGTTTAATGTATGTACCAAATTTGAACAAAATCCGTCCAATCATAACTGAGATCCGGGTCCGGAATGGTGAAAATGTGCGATTTTGATGCATTTTCGGACTGCGTCCGAACGGGGACTAATAATGCCATCATGTGATGATATGAAATGATGTGTAAAATCATGTGGTGACAATGCCATGTGAAATGCTATAGTGTTGTGTTATATGCCAGATGGTGTTATCTGATATGTAATGTGGTGAAAGGTGTTACTGACACTGTCACATGTCTGTATAATTTTGTATGGATCTGTCTTACCTGTCTCTTGTAGTCTATAAATAGTAATCAAACACATAACAACAATCTTGAAGACTAAATCATCTGGTATAAACTGTTCTTTGTCATCTTCAGCACCTCTTATAGATGGCATGATTGGCTGATCACCGTTGCTGTGTGTGTAATACATACACAAGTTGAAATCATGGAGGACTCGTTGACACACCTCAGATATTTCAGCAGTGCTAGCAGTTGAGTCTGGCTGCAGAATATCAAGTAAATACATAAATTCTATCAGAAGTTTCTTTATATCTTTTGGTCTGTAAATAAAAAGAGAGAACTATGAGATGACATGAACCATATACATTTTAGAAAAATTCACTGAGATCATAGAGGTTTTTAACTAGATGTCCCACTTGAATGCCATGGTCATGATCACCTTTACAATTAAAAATACATTTTTTCTAATTTCAAACTCAAAGAAAGGCTTCTTTGACAGTTTTGGTTTCAAATACCAAAGTTGAAGTTTTGCTGGTAGCAATTATGAGTTTTTGGACAGAAGATTTGGGAAGGCCTCAATGTAAATAAAAAACTTACTATTATAATGACTACCGGTACTCTCTGATTAAAACAGATATACAGCAGGTGGAGCAGGATGTGTTTTTGGAGACCCCAACAAACCCAATCAGCACAAGATAGCAAGGACACTAGAAGTGCGATTAGTATTTCTTACCTTTGTAGATCTGGTGGTAAATCTCGGAGGTCAGATTGTGGTAATTCCTTGTATCGTCTTCTGTTTTTTTCCAGCAATCTTTGCAAATTGGCATGTGCACCATCAAACGGAGAAAATGTCATCAAACTGAATAGCAAAAAAACATAAATGTTTTTTTGGTGACCTTTTTGACTTTTCCTAACATTCAATTTTAACTTGTAGTAATGCATTTGAACTAGAAACATTAATGCTATCAAATTATTCATTGGAAAAAAACAATTTTTAGAGAAAAAAACACACACTTGAGTGCATGAAACATCACACAAATCCTAAATACAGGCGACACATAAAAGTGCACTGTACTATTGGGGTTTGTACTTTTCAAAATTTTGCCTGAAAGTCAGCAAAATTCTTAATAAAAAACTAAATTTGTCAATTATTCCACAGTATTTATGGAGCAAGTTTTAAGGATACATCATGGGTTCTTCAAATATTCCCTGTAATGCAAATAGTTTTATTATTCTTCATCTTATAAGGTATAGATGAGTTTCAGCCAAATAAATATGAGGACTGTGGATTATACCTATATGCCAAGTTTCATTGAAAGCCATAAAAATGTTCATGAGATATCAACAGCTAAATATCAAACAAGCTGAAAGAGTGCTTATTATTAGGCAAATTAGGTCATAATTAGGTATACAACTAATCAGATCTCGACAGGTCACTTATGTACTAAGTTTCATTAAAATCAACTATGTAGTTCTGGAGATATAGGTGGAACAGGCACATACACATCGACATTCAATCTTTATTGCAATACCAATCTGAACATAGTGATAATGAGAAACAAGAGGACATCTAAGCTATGACTAAATGTAAACTACTGTAAAATACTTTATTTTCGCTTGGAATTAAATTTCACTATTTTCGCTGAAGGAATAATTCAGTGAAAATAAAATCCAGCAAATTTATTTTTTCCCCTATATTTTACACATTCAACTCGTCAAAAATCAGTGAAAATAAATTCCATACAAAAACCCACAAAGTCTTTTCAGCAAAAATTTATTTAAGCTAAAATAAAGTATTTCACAGTAACATACAAAAATACAAAATGTGCATTTCATGGAGCTGGGTAAAAGGTTATGAAGCACAAAACCATATGGTATTTGCTCTATTAGAAGTTTATCTCCAAGAGAACAATTGCTTTAATAGTATACTGAATCATTAAAAATATGTTTTGACCATAGACACACCTCTGCCAATTATGTAAAGTAGGCAGTACTAATTACCGTCAATATGGTATGTTCAAGCATGTTTTCATTCTCTATGATGGCAACTGCAAAGTTTCACAGTAGCTTTTCATTTACCCAAGATTTGTTATGATATATATGTGAGGTATAACAGCTACACTAACCATCTCATGTAGTGATACGCTGCATCACAACTCTGGTGTCGGTTACCAGACAGGGTACCAAGCTGGTTATGTGGCATACCAATATCTGCATTCCATAACAAGGCTTGATGATAGTAACGCTGGGATAAAACCGTGCTCCTGTACCCATCCTGATCTTGTTGATAGCGTGCTTAGATACAATAACAGTATTAGCAATGTATAAATGTGTAGTCAATTTCAATGAAAAACAAGTCACTGTTAATGACATAGTCCCTGTATAATGGGGACTAAAACAATATGGTAGCTAAAACATTCAGTCCAAACGTATAAATATACACTGTACCGATATTTGTTTATTCATAATTAGCACAGCTCGTTATTACACGTTATTATTTACAAATCATAATTAGCACAACTCGTTATTATTTACAAATCACTGTGCTTAAAATTTAACCAAAAAAATCATATTCTTAAATGTATTGTTGGCAAATTTTGATTGATGGTTTTGGTATGTGAAGTAATATGCGTAATATAACAAATTTAACAGATCCATGTTATAAGTACCTTGCCAACAAGCAAGTCCCTCCTTTTTTTTTAATTGAGTTTTCAACTAAATGTTGCCATTCATACACCTTTACTGTTTTATGACATATGCTTTTATTTGAGATGCACAAAATAAGAACAAATATTTTTTAACAAAAAGGATTGATAGATTTATTTGAGTTGATTTACCACAGTTTTATTATTAGCTCAGTAAATATTTAAACTGACCATCAAACATTGTCAAAGTTAGGTGAAACAAGTCACTGTAAGGTATTTTCATGTCTTTGTGTCAGTGAGATGCCCCACACATACCAAATATTATCACTCACCAAGATCACCAAGATACACCAAGCAATGATGGCAACAGTTCTTTGCCCATTCGACAGCTTTAGGGTCTACTGGTTTTTTGTTTTCTTTCTTGTCTTTGAGAAAAAAATAGAATATATTGTTGTTAAAGAAATGATCCATGAATCCATATTGGTACGTGAAAAAGACTTATATGTAGAAAGAGTAAATATCAGAAATTAATATAAATTGTAGAAGCACTGCACTGCAGTGATCACTGTGGTATTATGCGGTCATCAGCAAGCCGCAGGAACTGCTGCAGTTTTCATCACTCAGAAAAAAGTACAACTGCTAATGACCTCAGTAGAAAGACATGAATAAGGTAATGACTAGCTCAGGTGACAAATCGCCTTTTTGTGTTATGTCATCATTTGTGCATGAACCATCCAAGTAAAAACAGAGCAGCTTATCTGTGGTGAGTGTAAACATAGCAGTATACATACAGATACAGATTTTTTTTAACAGTTATCTTTTCTTTTTCCATTATACTTTTATTTATTGTTGTTATTTTTTGTATTTTAAATATATATTTTCTGTATCTTTTAATCTGTATTGTATGTTAGTCCAGATCTCAATGGAGATAGGTTGACAATAAAGTTATTATTATTATTACATACACACCAAGCACATACATGAACTGCTTAAACACACAACCATTATTTATAATAAATGTAAATTGGTAAAACAAATGTAGGTTGTTGTGGGGAATTTTCAAGTTTGCCCTTTACCTGTGTGTGTTTGTGAATCTGTTACATGTATCCAGTCCACTACACCATCCACATTTATATTGAATTCAATCTGTACTTTATTAAGTAGATGGTGATAGTAACCCACAGCTGATGACAGATGTGTCCTATAAGCACACTCCAGAGAACTTCCTCCGCGTACATGCTATTGAATAAAGATAATAGCTGTATCTTTAGAAAACAATAACACATTTACATAGTTTAAGAAGACCCCACTGTTTCTGAATGTACAATGAGACACTAAATACGTACAACTCAAATTGCCATTGGTGTGAATATTGTGGTTCTTTTAGAAGTCAAATCAAAGTATGTGGTTTAACTTTAGGTAATACCGTACTTCCCCGAGCATAAGCCCCTCCCCGAGTATAAGCCCACCCCTCTGTTTTTAGACATTTAACAAGTTAAGGCCATCCCCGAATATAGGCCCATGGTGTTTTTACCGGGCATCGACGACATTTATTAAAATATGCATGTAAAAATGTATTTCATTGCATAATAATCGTGAGTGGTATGGTAGTTTAGTTCCTGCTTTTTTAGAGTTTGTGTACGATCGAAAACACTCCACAACGAAGATAATGACAAAGATCTTGCCTTCGACTGTTTTTTCCACAGACCTTACCCATTTTTGCACCGTATGTAAATCGTATTGTAATAAAATGTGTGTAATTTTATGAACATGTTTGTTTCTTCATTGTAAAAAGTGTCGTGGAAATCAAAAAGACCGGTGCTATGAACGAAAAATGTCATTTGGATAATTTGTCATGGTTGAGAAGATGGTTACAACCCCCCCCCCCCCCATGTCTTTTCTGAGATGGTCCTCGAGTATAAGCCCACCCCCTAATTTTCCCGATTTTACATGTTCAGGCCCCTGGGCTTATATTCGGGGAAGTACAGTATAGTAATAAAACAGGATTGACTTTTAAGTTGATCCAAGTTAATTGCCAAAACAGTCATCACTATGTTGGATCTAAAAAGAATACATGATTGAACATGACAGAGATTTTAAGCTGATTGCTACAATATAATACTTGACCATGGAAAAAAATGATGATGATGACAAAATATGTACAAGCATGCATGGCCCTGGTTTTACTCATTATTATGTGCAAACCAAATGTCTATGCAAGAATGTTTCCTACCTTTCTATTTTGTTTTATTAACTGTATAACATCATAGAATACTTTTCTCCATAAAAGTTCTTCAGCTTTTCTGCCATAGTTTTCAGGATTGAGAAACATCATGCGTTCACAAAGGTCTTTCAACCTACAATAGAGTTATAATAATTCACTAATAAGCAGCCAGTCCGCTGATGTAGCTCAAATGTTTCAGTGCAAAATGAGAACGAAATATCAAATCAACCATTTTGATAACAAGAATACCAGTATTTACTAGAATGAGAAAATTGTTGTTGACACTAAATGAATAAATCTGACAGGGTAAGGAACCAAATCATTTGACACTGATCCATCTCATGTACCTATATATAAAATATCAAAACAATTGGGTTGGCAATTTTCAGAAAGAAGTCAGAAATTACCAAAAATGAAACAAATATTCATTAATATAGGAGAATTAAAATTATGAAAATCAACAAATCTGAGAAGTCAGTATTTTTATCGAAAAAATTCATCAAAATTGTAGAATCGAAGATATCATCCAAAAAAATGAACAAATCTGAGAGGGGTCCACCCAACCAATTTGAAAATATAAATTTTTTAATAAATGAGAAATATTATTCATATACATGTGTATAAATGTTTTTGTGCCAGGCGACAGTTCTGGACATTGAATGTCACTGTTATCTCCTGACTTTTTTTGTATGTTCAAATTGCAAGTGCTAGTGCTGACAGGAATCATATTCATGTTTGGGACTACATGACAGGGCTAGGCAGCTCTCAATCAAAGGGCAATTTAATGCGCTACCTTGGTATCAACCAGGCTTGGTCATTTCATGGTAATATTTTTAAATGCTTTCAAATTAAATCAGCATTGATATTCACATATATGTATGTGTTTGTGGTTCTCTCTGAAACTTGTTATTTTTCTGATGATAACTACAATTTTGGTGTATATTTTATCTTTTGGTAAAGCTGACAAAACTCATGAAGAATGTTGTGTATGTTTGCACATTAGCGACCTTTACCTGTTTCTAACAGCAATAGTTTCCATCTGGAATACATCTCGATAACTATTCTTCCCCTTGGCTGCATTTTCAAGCCTTCTGATTGAATCCAAGATGGATCTTTCAAAAGAAATTACAAAAATCGGGAAATTTTAAATGTATTCAAAACATTTAAATCATGTTATGTAAACATACAGAGAGAGAAACAAGAAATCATCCACCACATGGAAGCACTATTACATTGTTCGATGATTCTGCCCTCAACTGAGGTTCTGAGAAATGTGTGACGTTTAGCATCTATTTTTAGATAGTACAATGTAGTTACTTATCCAAAATTTCAAAATTGTTCATACATATTTATATTTTCAATGTTGAATAAACAATCTTTCAATTTAAATGTTTTTTTTAGATGTTCTGTAAGTTCTTAGTTTATTTGGGGCATTTATTTGTCTACTTTTTTTTTTATTACAGTTAATTATTCATTGGGCTTTAATTTTGCTATTTTTGCTGATAAGAAAAATCCACTAAATTAAATCTAAGTGAACGTGTAAAATGACAATGAAACTCAGTGTTTCCATGACAAATTTGAGAAATTAAATTCCGATCTCTAGACCGATGCTCACAAATTGCCACTTATTTGCATCAGGTGTTATGCCAATCAACGCTGTTTTAAGAACTGCAACAAGAATTCATTTCCAGCGAAATATAAATCATGGAATAAGACTTTGATGACTTATGATTTATTTTCATTGTGGTTTCTGAACGAATTTATACTGGCAGTGCAATCACACTTAGCCAGGAAGGGACTACCACAGCATGCTCTACTTTTTGTTGACACAGGTTGAAGGGCAGCCAATTAGAATTACCATATGGTAACATCAATTGAAACATGATGAAAAGACGACATTGAAAGTGACAACAACAAAAAAGAAAACATGCTGTCCAATGCACCAACAGTTCCGATGACTGACGAAATCAACGGAAGGCAACTTGTTATCGACTGGCACATGTATGAAAGTCAAGAGGACATCGATGAAGTGAAACTAACAACAGCGCCTGTATCATTTCTATGACTGAAACAATCTTGACAAAATTCACCTCATATATTTACTTCATGGATACGAATTATTTTACTAACACAATAATTAATAATGGCACAGATCTATAAGCAGTACCTACACACGAATTGGTGACGTCATAAAATACATGACCTTCAATCGGGGTCGTTTCCTCGGTATATACGAATTGGTATATGCAAATTACAATAAAGATACTTAAGACATTACACATAAGGTAAAACAAATCACGTGACAATATAATGATAATAACGGTGATAAATCCTAGCTTAACAGTTGAACAGAACGATCATATAGCCAGTCGGGTCACGCCGAGGTCACGAACTGTGTTCCAAAATGGCCGTGTGGTTGAAACTGGGTCATGGCGTGACGGGTGAGGCATCATTGTACACTCACAAAAT